CTCTTCACAACGACCTCCAAACTCCTTTCGTCAGTGACGAGATCCGCAGACTGTCGAGACTATACAGCGCACGGCTAGATGGACATAGCAACAAACTCATAGCGGCCCTGAATACTCCGCCAAAGGTGCCACGGAGACTAAAACGGCAATGGCCTACTGACCTCCCCGAAACCTCTGAAGATACGGAAAACAATATTAACCATCAACAAGACTGATAGGGGATTCATCAGAGGATGAATGCTCCACTCATGCCATTCGCCCACAGATTTACTTAATGCTCCACAAATAAGAGAGCAGATTGTAAATACGCAGTTAATAAAATAAAAAAAAAATGTTTAATACAAACCTGTTGCCTTATGCCATACTGACACTAAAAGAACAGGGATAGCTCAGCCAACGCAGTGGTTAGGATACGGGCTGGACAACAGTAGAATCGGCACCAATCTCTCCGCAGGAGAAAGAGACACCTCTCTTTTCCATTACGTCTAGGTCAGCTCTGACCCCAACTCAGGTTAGGAGCAAATGGTAACTCGGTGTGAACTGGTAAGGCGGAAAGGCGGTCACGGCGCAAAGCTGACTACTCACCTGCAGTTAAATCAGACGTTGGAAATGTTTGGAACTGTAGCCTCACCCCTCCGCCCCCATAGGTCGTCATGTGGTGGTTTTAAATTAGGCACAGAGGCAGTTTTAACCTATTACTTTTATTCATGTTTAAAGGGAATGTATATGAAATTCCATCGTTTCTTACTTTAATACACGGCAACAAAACAAAAAGATTGCATTTACCGAGTTTTAATGTCCGGTTATGAACATAACTCTCATTCTTATCAATAAGTAAATGGGGGAAAAAGTTTGATTTACCTCTCTTTCGCTTTGTATGGCGCTTTCTAGGGCTATAAATGTCGCTTCAAACCCAAGTTTAAGTACAGGAAAACAAAACATGTTTCTATAACCTTTTTTCAGTTCATAGTATATTTTCATTAAAACAATAAATTAAACTATATTCTTTTTGTGATTAAAATTTCATCATTAGCTTTGGTTTGGATATTTTATTTATGGTGCTTTGCTATACAAAATGCTAATAATTAAACTATTCATATGGTACACGTTCTCTTAATTTCACAGATATATAACTCAGTTCTCAAAGATATACAAGTACGTGGAAATAAATATATGACGCTTGGCTGGCTTATAGTGTTTCGGTCCGCATTTATATTTACACAACCAGTCTCATGTTTGGAGTTGTCATTACAAAATTGACCCTGCTAGCCAATCGGCATCGGGGGTTCGTTCCCCGGGCGTAAAGCGGCCTAGACGTGAAGCTAGCCACTCACCTCTCTCTAGTGCCAGTGTCTAGAACAGTGCAGCTATAACTCCAGTCCCAATGTGCCTCCTTGGCGTGGTCCTTAATTAATCAAGCACAGGGACAACTTTACTGTTTAAGTCAACTTTCTATTATGGAGACCGATGTTATAAGGAATCTGTACTTACCTCTAAAAATACTGTCACCCAGAGAACGTTGAAGACGCAAAAGAAAGCGATGCTCTCGGAGGACAGGAACAGCTGCAAGAAACCGAGGACCATCGGGACCAGCAGAGATGTCGTGTAGAAGCCGAGGAAGGTGAAATAAAGTGCTACGGCTTCTCCGAAATACAACCTGATCTCCTCTGCATAAGCATAAAGGAGAAATGTCTGTGGTTATTTTCATTAATCAGTCAGTAAAATAGATAAATTCATAAATCATACCATATACGTCTCATTTTCAAGTTAGGTATGCACAGCGTAACGGTTCTTGCGCATGCGCAACATTTGCGGATAAGCTATATTGATCATTAAATACGTGTGTTAGATTTCTTCATGAGGTTTGTTTTAAATACTGTTAGCTGTATTGAACGTATAGCGAATTATTTAGATAAGTTACACTGAAGATGCACGTAGAAAAGCATAGACCACGTAACATGTCCACTTGTTTCCGTCTCTAATGCAACATAAACTTTTATTTTAAAGTATCATTAATTTCACATTTTATTTTACTGTTAATTAATTGAAACCGCTCCACTGTATCAGCTCATGTGTCAGTCTATTACATGCTGCTACTGCACATCATCGTTTATTGAGAAGCTATGCCCACACTTCACTCACGCTACTTTCCTATTAAGGCATTCACGTTGTCCTCTTGGCGCGCAGCTCTTCCTAATTGGGCGTGTATCGCGGAATACAAGGGGTACACGCCCGCCTTTATATTAGGTTAGTTTTCATGACATGTAATCAAATCTGGTTCTGGATAATATATTTCTCACAATAATATAATGTTTCTTGAGATGTTCTTAAATTACAGACAGTATATAAGGCAAGAATGCCGGTCACGGTAGCCGAGCGGTCTAAGTCTAAGGCATGCACTGTCTTCTCTTGCTCGGAAACCGGGATCGTGGGTTCGAATCCCACTCAGGGCATGGATGTTTGTGTGCGTTTTTCTGTGTTTGTCTACAGGTAGAGGCCTTGCGACGAGCTGATCACTCGCCCAAGGAGTCCTACCGTATGTGTAAGATCTAGTAAACCGAAGTGAAACGGAGAGTTTCATGGAGGTAGGCCTTGGCCCAAATTGGGGCTGTAGCGCCACAGGAAAAAAAAAATATAAGGCAAGAATAGCTAATAATCGCTCGGTCACTCAAAGTAGTCCCCACCTCTCATGTAACTTTATTATTATCAATTCTGTAGAAGCCCTTTACTGGTTTTCATCCTGAGCCAGAAAAATCCTGTCCACAACCTTCCACTTCATTTCTCAAAAATTTATTCTAATATCCTCCCATTAAGCCTGAGTTCTCCAAATGGCCTGTTTTCGTCATATATTCTTACTAAATTATCTGTCGTTTTCCTCATCCTTTCCACGCGTGCTACATGCCACGATAAACTCATCCTCATCAAAATGATATGTAATAAGAATACACATTGTGAAGCCCCCTATTACGCATTTTCTTGCAGATTCTTTCACTTCCTTTCTGTTCCGATCCAAATATTTTCCCCAACTCCTTCTTCTCATACACCTTTACTATATAATTTTATCTTAACGTCAATCTTCTGGGGTATAACGCTGTATATTCAGTTGAAAGTAAACCAAAGTTTTGGAATAAGATATCGTTTCCATATTCAGTGTCTAAGAGTAAGTCAAACAAGAAACGATCATGAAACAGAAAGCAAGCAGAGCCAATGACTTTCACCAGGCTAAGTGGCGTTTTAACCCAGAAGAAGTAACTTGTCACAGTCCCCAACGTGAGAACCTCAGATCCAACACTGAGGGATTAAACTTCACACCCCTCTTCTTGTGCAGAAAAGAGATAACACTACATTTCTCTCCTATATAATTCTGACGATAAAGTAATGTACTTAAATACCCTCATTCAGAATAAATACAGTTACAGTTACAAGAAAATATTGCAGTGACTTCATTGATATACATTTTATTATTATTTTACTGAAATCTAGTTAAGTTTATTTCAGAGTTAGGGAAACTTACCGAATGGTTGCTTCCGAAACAGCGCCCAGTACCATTTCATTCCCAGTTTACCCAGTGCTTCTTGGTCATGTAAGGGATACATCCGGTCCAGAAGCTTCCAGTGAAGACAAACCTGAACTGAAATGAAGAAGTTAACTGATGAGCTATAGCAGGTTACTTTAGCAATTAATGTTTTATATAATATAATATGAAGCAGAATAATGTAGACGGTATAGCGACTAGCTACGGGCTGGACGACAGAGGTGTCGGAGTTCG